ACGTTTTAAATTTTGTTCATTCTTGTTTCGCGTCTCTGACGTGCTGTTCGTTATCTAATACGTCCTATAATATTTATTTTTATTTTTATTTATTTTTTGATCTGCAACCATGAGAGAATCGAATGGTGAGTTGAATTATTTCATGTTGTTAAGTATATTTTTTGTTGTTATTTGTACACAACTGTATCTAATTGACAGCAATTAAATTGAGCATTTGTATACTTATTTATTATTGAGTTTGAGATAAGCCATGCACACAAGGATGCCGATAAGAATATTAGTTCAAGCTTGCTTAGCAACCCTTTAAACATTAACTAGAGTAATGCCAAAAACAGTAGTATTTGAAACAAGAAATATCAGGAATTCCATTTTTCATAGTAAGTACTTCACCAACAATATTTAAGCAATCTATACCGTCTTCGGTATACATTTTAGTGATTGCATGTCTATTAAACTAATGGGAAGATTAACACCTGAACATATAAGTATTACTTAAGTAATCGGGTCCTTGTGTTTTGACTAAATTAGAAGATAATTGGCTATCATTAAGGCAGCCTGCGTGCTTGTATGGTTCGGTTGAATAAATATAGCACTAACAGATATATGGGCAACTGCTTTAGTACCTACATAGGTACATCATTCTGTATGTCCATTGTTGAGACTCATTCTTGTGGCATAGTCATCCTTCTTGTTTTGTTTACGTCTTCTAACAGTCAACCTCTCAGCTGTAAATAATTGCGCCATTATTTTAATGATTAGGTTTGCTCTTTTTTCTTTAAGTGTGTGTTTAAATGGCGCAGATTTTTTTAGTTTAAGTGTTATGTAGGTACTCAATGATTGTTTTTGATGGCGCTTTGTCAACTACTCGTCTATGATAAAGGTGTATTTTATGTTTAACTTGCTCTCTTACACATTATTATATTTGTGTTAGTCTGTAATGTAACGCATTGCGAGTGTAATAAAAGGGATTAGTAAAATACATTCCGATTTGTGCTATATGGTATTTTGGCGTTTGTTATTATGGCGTCCATCTGAAGGTCGATCCCACACTTTAGCTATAGGGAAGCGAGATACTTAATCATGTGTAATTACGTCTTAACATTCATAATTAATTATGAACATTTTCTTCCGTTTTGCCGGTAAACATTTCGATACAAATGAGGTCTTATTGCACAACTGCCCACAAAATATAAGTTCGAGTGGTAACGTGACATTCATAGGTTTGATATACGAGGCGGGACCCGCCGCGACCGCGACCTACGCCAATGTCACTGCATGGTGCTTACGAAATGTGACGGATTTACATAAACGTAATTAATTTTATTCTAATGCCACTATTTTCGTCTAAGGACTGCTTTAACTACTTACTAATAAATTAAAACTACTAACAACTACGTAACCTGTACCGTGTCCCGGTCTGGAGCAACAGAAGGAACGGCTAGATTTTTATTCAGTAGGAGTCTGACATTCCGGCTTTGCCCTGGGGGCATGAGACATGAGAAGCCATAACACAACAAGCTATGACGATTTTTTTTTCTACTGTTCAAAGGGACTCATCTCGTTTTAGTGTTTTAAATTCCTTAACATAGTTTTTACATATCGTCACAAGTAAGATGGTGATGTTGACTAATTCTGCAAAAAAGTACTTATATCACTTAACTTTGCCCTTTGGAATTTCCTTAAAAACAAGCTACTTACTGAAAGTTGTAAGTAATAAATGATACGATGAAGGAAAATGTACAAGGAAACCTACTGTGAACATTAATAATCGGTGATCACGTATTCCTTTTGGACTCTCTCAGTGATGAAGCTGCCTACACCACATCCTCAATATGCTAACCGCCACGTACGTAACCGGTGACCAAAGGTAGCGGAGGATTTGCCTTCAACAGTTTCCTATCGTCGCTAAAAGGCTTAATACTTATCCGAATCATAAAAGGGAATTTTACATCTACCTACTTGGTATTTCTAGCAATACCTTAGATAACGTTTGCTTAATTATTGTTCAAATATTTTAATTATTTCTTTCTATCTTTCTTTTGGTCTTAAGGCTCCTAGTTTTATTTGTACAAGTCATTGTCGTTGTTATAAGGACCTATCTAAATCCATGTCATTAGCTAACTACCTCATGCTTTGTGGCCGAGTGCGCGCATACAACGTAATTGGGTAGGCTTCCTAGGTCAAAAAGAAATTAATTCGACATTTCACTACATTAAAATATAAAAAATTTTTCATTGACCTCTCGATACACGAGATTTTCGATATTTTTTGGTTTTGATTTTTAGGTAATATGTAAACGATTTGACGCTAAAATACTATGACGTCATAATTTGGATAAAAGTATACGTACATATAGTAGGTACGTATAAAGTATATATATATATATATATGGTAGTAAGAATTTGTTTTTGTTTTTTGTATAAAATTTATTTGTATTGAATTTGACGAGTTGGAAACTACCGTATTAAAAGTTTATTTTTCAAATTTCAAAGTATATATTAAACAGTAAATAGCCATGATAATTTTATACGTTCTTTTTGGTTTGCAGTCCTCAAACCACCTTTTACTTTATGGGTTTTCGAATTGTATGGTTAGCCAGGGTTAGCCATAAATAGACGCTGTTCTTGATATATTTGTTTTAAAATTGTGCAACGAGCAACGATGATATATTACCATAGGCGATGCTCGCTTGCTTCTTATTACTTCTTTAACAAAAAAATAACTCTCACTTTCTGTTTTTGGTTTGATTGGGAAGTGTGCCCCATGTAAAGCAATAAGGTCGACCTCTATCAAATGGGACATTCAGATGGGAATGGGAGGTATAGTTTCTATTTTTCCCGCGCAGTCCTATCTATAAGGATAGAGAGTAACTGTGATGCTATTTTATGTAACATAGGCAGGTAGGTCTACTCGTAATACATGTACTGAATACAAAATTAATAATTGTCACGAAGTCGTAATAAATAAAAGAATAATTACATATTTTATGATCAGTTCAATTTCAGTTTTGGGTCAATGCGACCCATGGATACGAGCGAGGTAATTATATTGTATCCTTCCTCAAAATAGCTAGTACTTTGCATAGAATTGCAATACCGTTCACATTAGCTTGGAAAATCGCATAATATTTGATAGCCATCGAAGGCTGCAAACGCAGACACTGTTCTGTGGCAATGTAACAATAGAACCTTAAAATGTCACCAAAAATATTTATAACGCCATTGACCCACATTTATTATATGCTTCCGTTAAAATAGTTATCAGTTGAAGCATGATGGACCATGAAAAAACCATTGGGGATATATTTTCACATTAGACTCAAAGTTTTGCTATCCTTTTACTATCCAAAGCCGCTTGTCTCGTTCTCACTTTTCCCATATCGGATGTTAAATAAAAGTCACTAATTCAATTTTATTTAAGTCACTTGTCTTGCTCACACGACCCTCTGGCTTTTAATACAGAAGAAAGAAAGCTACATACCACACTTCTTGTTATAATAACCTTTTTACTCTCAATTTCCATTAGCCACATTCCAGAACACTAATCCAGATTGCACCGTCCCAATAATTCTTATTCTATCCGGGGATTGGACTCAGGACACTCAACCGAGGCAGTCATTCCTGATTATACATATATACACAGTCATCTTGTCAGTTAAGCAGTGGGCTAACCTCGTGTGATGCACAAATTCTTTCCGCGACCGAGTGAACCTTGAAAATGGACAAACCGCGATTACGACTAACTTGGACCATCTCATTTAAATAAACTCAAAGATTAAATTAGCATGGATTTACGTCATTTTCGTTCGTTCAATGAAATGTTAGTTGCTTACGAGGTTTTCTTAATATAGGTACGACCCTGGGTTACAGCGATATAGGCGGTATGAACATCCAAAAGGTTACATATAAATTACCCCATTTAATTGATTATAGTAAAATTGGATTAAAATTATTTATCTATGTACCTACTAAACTATTCTATCTATCTATGTACCTATTAATTTCTGAATATTAGGCCGTAGCGAATTTATTATCTTTTATTAACTTTATTGCCTGGCCTTTAATCATCATTTATTTGCAAAGCACCTACCTAGCTGTAATTTATTTTATACAGCTGCTGCGACAAATAATCGAATGCGTTATTTGATATCTAGCATTTTCCGGCTTTTCTACCACTTATATTCACAGGCTCTGAAATATCATGCTCATCATGGTCATGCTCATAGGAAATACTTAACCTCTTTTACACCAGACTGTAACATTAAGTACCTACAAGTTCGAGAGATGATCTCCGGCCACCGAAAGCGCGGGTCTGCGGTCGGCGAGTAAGGGCAGCTCGCCGCCCGACCAGAACCAGGCCCGAGCGTACGGCGCGTAGCGTTGCGCGCGCGCCTCAAAGAGCCAATAGACCACCACAGACGGGGCTATATAGGCAATGAGGCACCGCGACCTCGGCCCAGAGCAGGAGAAGGAACAGGGGTACAGTAAGAGTCTGACACTCCCTCCCGCCCGGCCCTGGGCGAGAGAAGGCATTGGATGATTTTCCCCCGTACCTAACGCATATTATTATGCAATAATATTTGTGCTAACCCTTGCCCTACTCATTAGGTAACCATTAGGAAAATATTACCTGTAAAAGGAAATATGTTTCAAAAACAGCACAAATTGAGTGAAACAATTATTGTTATACTTTCTAAGTACGAAGAGTAATAAATGTAGGTATTATTAAGAGTATTTGTACGTCCAATAATATTCTGATCAAAAAATAAAAGCCAAGCGAGTTTTATTTTTACAATTTCACGATCACATTTCACAATAGGGAGAGATCCATAGGTACCTATCTACTGCTTTACTTGAACATTTGGCTGGTAAGCTCTAAAGTCTGGGCTTATTCTAATAATAATAATGTATACTGCATACACCAATATATACCTATACGTAAATTGCAATAAAACATAACATATATGTAGGTAACTAATGATATAATATGATTTGTTCCAGGCGTGTCTTGTGAGAAGCCGCTGGGTAGGCGTGTTGCTGTGCCCGTCATCCACGTCAGGGGGACTCATTACGAAGTTGGATACGATGTCGTAAGTGCCCGATAGTCTTCTTCCGAGAATATACGATGTGCTCATATATAATAACGTTAGCTTTCTAATTCATGTCTCAAATTCTTCGATTGGAGACGTGACATAAATAATATAAGAACTTATACACGAAAAACTTCAAGATCTCCATTGATTATATTCCAGGGCCGTACATTCTCGTCAATCATCAAGGACTTTATCGCGACATATGAGAACCTGCGAGACTTCGAGAATGTGTACGCCACAGACACGGGGAGGAAGGCGTACGACACGACCCTGGCGAACATGAAGAAGAAGTACCCTTACTATATTAAGGAAATGCAGGGAGTCGCCGATGGAGCCAAAGTGAACTTCACACAGGTCTGAAATACTAAAAAAATATAGTTACGAACTTTCTCACCAACCTGCTCTAAATTAGGAACTGATGACATGTCTCATGATGTATAAGTAATCTACCTATGCTATTGGACATTGGCATTGACCAATATTAGTTTAATAAAATCAAAACTTTTAGTATTTTTAAGAACACATTTGGTGAAGTATTAGTTTTCGGGATTATGCCTAATTAAATAAAGTACAGTTACAGTACAATGTAATAACTAAACTTATATAGGTATAGTGCAGTATAATAAGTTTTCAACTTAATATACATTGAAACCTAGGACCGTATGAATTTGCATTATAAGTATAACTAATAATCTCCACCTCTCTGCAGCTGTTCCTGCTACAGATGGACGACCTGATCGGCAACGTGAACGACAACCACATCCCCAGGAATGACACCGGCGGCTGCAGCTCCATTGCATTCAAGAACTCTCAGACGGTAAGACCTTCTGTTCGGGACCACAACTCTTTTACGTTGAGATGCCCAAACGAATCAGTTTTATAAGTAGGTACCGTAGATAAGTAGATGAAAAAGGATCTCATATCTCATTTGGCTGGCCCCCATAAAAAGGCTCATGAAGATTGTCATCTATTACACGGCACACACACATCTATTGCAGGAGTGAGCAAAGCCTCCTTTAAGGAAACAGAAGATACGTAATGAGATAATATGAAATTAATTTATTTCATTAAGTAGGTACTAAGTGGTAATTAAATAAATAAATTTTAATTGTACTCAGTAGATAGGTAGATACTATAGGTATCTACTAAATACAATATATTTACTTAAAACTTATGTAATAAATGCTGTACCTACCTTAAACATTAGGCATATTTTCGTATTTACACAATGTTTAGACGTAGCAAGGTTTTGTGTTTGGCATAGCTGTATGGCCTAGTGTTACTAAGCAGGTGGATGTAATGTTTCCAGACTTTGCTGGGTCACACAGAGGATGCGTTCCATGAGACGCTGAACCACTTCTACATCATGTCTGCCCACATCATACCCTCGCCTGAGGACGCCAAGGCTGGAGTGAGTATCACCATGATAATATACAAGATCTACCGTGTGACTACTGTATACTATAGATAAGTGATGTTTGGATTTTTTAGATCATAAATCATTTTGAGCCTATCAGGAATTTATTTAAATTTCTTTATCCAAAAAAAACATTATCTGTGTTAGGTTTGCGATACTTGAACTAAACTCTAGATACCTATACGTTTTACCAATTAAATAATGTCCTCCACCGTTAACCTCTGTACAGGCGGTAGAGGAGCGGTTCTCGTCTCTGTGCTACGCTGGCCACATGCCGGGATACACCATGGGCTTCAACGAGAACGGGCTAGTCTTCTCCATCAACACCCTCAGCCCCCTCATCCTGAAGTATGGCAACACACGTGAGTAGCCTGAAAAATACCTGATTCCAAATAATGGTATACAAGAACATTAACATATTAGTGTAGGTTTATTTATTCATGATATCATATTGGTATCCAGCTAGGACATTCATCACCCGAGCGATGCTGGCAGCCAAGAACTTCGAGGAAGCTGAGCACATTCTACTGGACCAGGGCCTTGGCATCGGCAACGGATTCTCGGTGAACATGATCTGGACCAACAACTGGGGGGACCGGCAGATATACAACATCGAGGTGTCTCCCGACCTGAAGGCAGACCACTCGCACCTCAACGTGCAGAAGTATGACAAGGAACCCCTGGTGCACACCAATAAGTAAGTTCATTGTCCTATGAACTAAGTACTGCTTATTAGTACGAGTATTTTTATGACTTGAATAGAGCTGACTTTAACCTGTAGCAGCAATTTCAACATTCAAATACCTACCTAGTAGGTAATGATGACACCTGTATACCTACTACTAGTAATAAGAGGAATAAATTTTAATACGAGCGTTAAACAGAATATAAGAAGATCTCAAGCTAAAGATTTAAATTGTATAGTATTTTATTAAATATGTACTTCCCCACAGATACCAACGCACCAACGTGACAGAGGTGACCGGTCGTATCATAGATAGCAGCGTAGCGCGCCTGAGGGTAATCCACAGCTATCCCAAGCCTCACACCCGCAAGGAGCTGGCGGAGATCCTTTCTGACACCAGCGACAAGGAATTCCGGCTGTTCCAGGACCATCCTGATGACATTATCATGACTATCGCAGCAGGTACGTTGCTCAAGTTTATGTTCACCTGTTATTCTGCCGTGGTAGTGATATACTTTACAAATATAAACCAATCATTTTCCGGTCCGGAATACCTGAACCTTGTCAAACTCAGTACTAGCCGGACCATCTAGAACAAATAATGCTGAAGGATAAGAATATGATGCACTAGTGAACCTCTCCTAGTATTCTCAATATCAGCTATGTAACTAACTGTAATGAGATGATATGGTAAGAATCCTGATTCCATTATTCTAGGTATTTTCGATCTGGACAAGCGCACATGGAGCATCTACATCAACAAGCCAAAGTGCTCAGAGCCGGTTGCTGTACTGCCTATCACATTCTCCTCTTTGGACTACTAGATACCGGGACCGATACAACACGACATATAATTAATGATTAAAGAAGAAACACAAGGGAGACACTAAAAATAGTGGATTGTTTATAAGTGTAACTATGTCTCCCTCGTACATAAATATATTGTGTGACTATAATATAATAAAGAATAAGTATGGGTACTTAATTGTTGCTAGAGTTGTTTAGAAATAAAGTTGAGTAGATACAACGTAACTACATATTGAGAAAGTGTAGAATATTATTATATAGATAGCTCCAAGCCTGAATGTTCAGACTACTGACTATCACGCTATTCCTATGTTCAGTATTTGAATTTAATTATTTAGTACAATGTAAGCCTGTAATGGGAAATATCAGCGCATCTATATTGTATAATAACTTTAGTACAACTGTCCGTCCGTTTGTGTTATTCTTACACATATGTTAAATATAATAGTAATGTTTGAGTACCTACATAGGCACTAATAGAACAATTGTGTGATATAGTTAGTTAGCTAGATTTCCTGCAAATGTATAAATATAGATACTTGCCTATCTTGCGATATCCAGTAAGTTGTAACAGTTTTTGATAAATGTAAGATAATTTTGTTTTTAAGCTATTGATTGCCAATGCATACCATGAGAATAAGCCGTAGGTGAACTAGATTAAAAGATTCTGTAGCTATGTTATATAAATTGTTAAAAGTTGGTACACTTGACGCGTAACAACAAAATATGTTTCATTTATGTCGGAAATATGGTTTGCCTACATACCTACATAACAAAACAAATCAGAGTATTGATTTGTTTTAGTTTACCAATCGCCATGAAATATTTAAGGAATAAAATAGACCATTTGTTTATAGTTAATGTTATTTATTTAGTTTTACATCTATACAATAGTTGTGTGGTGTTAATAAACAAGTTATCTGATGCAAACTGTGTTTTATTTATGAAAACTAAAATAAAATTTCTAGAATAAATTTGGTAAATTTAGGAGGATTATTTTATTAACAAGTTCCATGAAATGCCATCGCGATTAATAAAATTATGACCACGACAAAAATAGATTTAATTTCCATTATAAAAATAACTAATTAAGTTAGCTCGCTATTATTTGTAACATAAAATTTCATTTCTTATACAATTAAAAATTATCTTTAGGAATCATTAAGTATTTTAGTAAAGCTAAATTATCGTAATCTAGGAGATAATAAATGTGGAATATTTATAGAAGATACAATGGTTTCCTACTCAGATCTATGTATCTTCACGGGACGCACTATTGCACATAGAACAAACTGGGGCCTGTTTATGATTGTGAATCTACAAAGTTATCTGAAGTCCAAATTCAAAGGACATACTGTTGAATTGCTTATTTTTACTGTAAATTATGTAAGTATTGTAGCAAAATGTCCTTTAGATTTTGTTACAGAATGTAACAAGTCCAGAATCTACAAGATGGGCAAACATTTAAATTGTTAACCTAGAAGCCATTATTCATTAAAGTTACAATTACTTGGATACAGGCATGAATAGTGTTGTTGGAGTTACCCACAGCCACAGCCTCCCATTGGAGGTGGGGAAGGACCTGAGCCTGAGGGTCCGAAGCCGCCAAACTTCCTCGATGGTGGTTTTGGAGGCCTGGAATTGAAAACAATAGAAATCAGTGCATGCATATAGTACTTGAGATTATTTTCTTTTTTGGTCTCTTCGGCTTAACACTAGTATTGCATCATTCCCACATAATGGAACCAACTTAATAATTTAACAAAGAACTGAATATTTAAACTGATTGAAAAGAGTCACCAAGAGTTTATTGTTTTTCACTGACACTTTTTATATTTATATGCAAGTTGTTTTTATGCAAATAAATAATATATGGAAATGGAACATTATCACTCTCTTCTAAGTAACAATAGCAATAGTCAATGCTGTAGGAATAGTCTGCCTATTGCAATACATTCCTCCACAACACAAGTTATATTACAGTCAAAGTGATGAGGCGATTGAGCATTATTACAAAAACATTTATTATGTTTACATACCCACTGCCCGGTGGCCTGAAGTCTCTCACATACTTGTCTCCATGCTTGCTGTAGTTAGGGTTGATCAGGGTCTGGAACCTGAAGTATATGGTAACAGAATGTCAGTTAAAATCTGCAATAGTATGGTATGTTAATAAACATGAGAAAGTAGGTTTTATGTAATTTGATTGTCTAGACCCTACCAATAACTTTGGGGTTGTGGATAAAGATCACAATATCCCAAGATTGAATAAAAAGATAGAACAGAGTTGTTTATATGTCACTAAGAGTCTGACACTCCCTCAAGCCAGCTCTTACTGTAAGAGTTATGGTGCCCGGAGATTAAGGAGCCCGCTTCTCATGCATGAGTGTGGGTTCGAAACCTGGCAAGTACCAATGTGAATTTTTCGAGTTATATGTACTTTCTATGATTATTTAGACACCACTTAGTTTGAAATCGCCAACCTGCTTTGAGCAAGCGTGGTGATTAATGCTCTAATCCTCTCCGTATGAGAAGAGGCCTTTACTCAGCAGTGGGCAGAGGCTGATGATGATGATAATGACACTTACTGTTACTGTTGTGATCACAAATTACTTTTATAAAATATTCAACTCTAGAATAACTAGAATGTCTGATTGTGTTACAAATAGTAGAATACTCACAATAAAAAAATAAAGTTGACAATGCCCCAGAACCACCCAAACAAGCTGAAGGGAGTACGCTCCACTACTGTCCCATCTGTAAACAAACATAAAAAAAATATGTTTTATATAAAGCTGATGATGGATATTAGTATTTAGGTAAATATTAAAAAAGATTATTATTTTTTAAGATAGATATTTTGTGTGGGTGGAACATCAAATGATACATTAAACAATTACTTTTGTGAATGTAAATTATTATTTACCTATTACTTTAACAATAATATCTAAGGTCACAGTTACTCTTTAATTTATCTATTTAGCCTTATAGTTTTTTACTTGAACTAACATTGCAATTTATCAGATAAATAAGGCCAGCGCTCTAATGATGATAAAATCCCAACTTCCTGAAAACATTACTCAACAATTACAATTTTATTTACATTTACTGACGTGGCCTACATATTATACCTAATGTTTCTAGAACACAAGCCAATCAAATCAACGAACAACACTTACCTCCCTTGATGTACACCATTGTTTCTGGATAAACTTCACACCTTTTTGCACTGTTTTCAAATACTTTAGCTTCAGTATAAAAATCTATTTGGTAGAATTATATTCACTTAACCTGTTATTGCTCAATGTTTGGTATAGTTTGGTTCAACAGTATAAGATTTGGTTACTCGTATAAAACCTGACTGACTGAAAGTATCATGTCAAAAGCCAATGTCAAAGTCAGGTTATACACTGACATTGATAAATAGTTCGTCGCACGAAACGAATTTTGTAAATGTACTTTTAAGTTTGTTTCGTGGTATAACTTATGTGTAAAGTACACATAAGTTTTCACATATATATCACACAAAACATACAATGCCATGATAATATTTGGACAACCATTTTTCATTGTATATATTTGTTTCTGTTGGGAACTGAGTAACACATTAAATTAAAGTTTGTTAGAAATAGGACTTGTCACTTGTCATTTGTTATCTTGGCAAAGTAATACGTCAAAACACGAAAAGTAACAAAAATACAAACAAACATTACAAGTAAATAATAAATAATAGATTCGTAATACACATGTGAGATTTAGAATTAATTGTGCTACACATAGAATATTGAGATTAGTTACATAATGAGTTTAAGGGCCATCAAGCTAGTAACATTTGATGTTACCAACACTCTACTACAGTTCAAAGTGCCTGCCTGGCAGTATTACGCTAAGGTCGCCAAGGACTACGGTTTCAACGGCCCTGACGATCAAATCAAAACGAGGTTCAAAAAAAGCTTCAACCATATGTGGGAAAAACATCCCAACTTTGGAAAAAAAGGCATTGAATGGGAAGAATGGTGGACCCAAGTAGTTAGCATGACTTTGAAAGACCACCTTCCTAGTGGCACGGATGTGGCAACCGTTGCTCACGAGCTCATTGAAGAATTTAGAACAGACAGATGTTGGCAGAGTGCCTCTGGTGGAGAAAAACTAATGCATCACTTCAAGAATCTGGGAATACAAATTGGGGTTATATCAAATTTTGACCCTCGTCTTAATGATATACTGAACAATGTTAGCTTGAAAAAATATTTTGATTTCATAGTGACATCATATGAGATTGGATACAGCAAACCTGATGAGAGGATTTTCAAGTGTGCTATTGGAAAGTGCAGGGTGCCCGTAACACCACCTGAAGCACTACACATAGGAGATGACATTGTGAAAGATTATCAAGGGGCCCGGGCTGCTGGCTGGCACGCTGTCCTGATCAATCCCGACCTGGATAAAGGTTCTGAGCCCTTGCAGCACCATGTATTTAAAAGCTTGGAGGAACTGAGTAATGTCATAATGGAGAAGAAATTAAAACTGTGATATGTACAATTAAATGGTATTTGACCAAATAGGAGTCCCACTGTGAAATAATTAATAGTAAAGCATAATATGATAGTAACACATAAAAGTTGAAAGTTAATTTATTGATAATTAGGTACTGAAATAAAATATTTATTGAAGAGGCTACTCCAATGTTTTACTTACCTTCTACTACAGACAAATCTTGTGACCAGTCACACAAACTTGTTTTTGAGAGGGAGTACTCCACTAGGTCATATGGTGGTGGTCACTTTTGCTTGTGTGGGTGATTTGTGATTTCATAAATACCTCCTTAATTATTATATTTTTAATTCATTGAAATATGTAGAGGGTAAGTACTTAGTTTATTTTTCCTTTTGAAATATGTAGATGGTAGACAGACAAAATATGTTTGGGAACCTCCACTGTTACTAGCACTTACACATTTTTGCACAATACTTTAGTGTTAGTGCCACCAGTTGAAAGGTGGAGGTAGTTATTGACTATAATTTAATTGAGATGTAGGACCAAGTGGAGTGCCGTGTAGAAGATTTGATGGCTATGGCGTGCCTTATTTAGAGGGTTGAAAATCATGCCGACTTCTTTTCTGATGGTGCTGGAGGAGGCTAAATAATAAATAAGGTCTTGTTTGGTTCTGGTCGGGTAACGAGATATCAATGCTCGCCAACCGCAGAGATTGCTGCGCGACACACCAGGAAGCGATGAGTATTCACTCACTCGCTCTTCCTTAGCCACCATGACCGTTTCGCAAAAGGAGGACAGCATATCTCAGTTCATCACGCGCAAGGCGACTTAGCACCATGATGTATGTGGTGGCTTGCTATGCGAACAGTTTTCAATGCTTGGGCCACGCTAACGGGAAATGCCGATAATTATCGCGATAATTGATGATATTAAACAATGAAAAGATACCTTTTTTATCAGGGGAAAATCATCAAATGACCTTTCCCGCCCTGGGTAAGGCGAGAGAAAGTGTCAGACTTTTACTGACTAAAAACCGACCCCGTACCTTCTCCTGCTCTGGGCCTCCTCCTCGCGGTGACTCATTGCGCTTACCCCGCAACCCCGGCATAAATTACCTACACCTACGATTAACGTCTATTATCGCGATATTTATCGCAAAAACTCGTATTGAAATAGTGGGTACTATTTCAATACGAGTTGCCTGTACTATAAAAGGCAGCATTTGAGGAAGTGTGTAAATAAAACAACATTACTCATCTACCAATCTACGATGCATGTAATCAGAAAATTCACAACATTGACAAAATCAACAATTCGAAAGCGTACCGCCACCCATACCTAATCTACCACTTAGAACGATAACAAGCGATAGTATCTACTTCTTCAAACAAAGGATCTGCAAGATGTCGCCTGATATTATTCTTCCACATGTCGTCCTCCAGTTAACGTAACATTTCCGCAGCCTGGCTACCACATCACAAAACGAATGTTCACAAGCCTTTTTTCCTTTTGATATCCTCAGGATCGCAGCAACCTTTAGCTTACCAAAGCGGAACTTCCCACTTAGTACCAGGTCTTGAGGTCTTTTCACCGCAAACTGTCCAGTAGAAGTAGATACATAAATAAAAGAAGGTGCATGAAAGAGGTAGTCGCACAAATAGGTAGGCGTACTACGGCATTCACGTTGAAAACTTAATTTTCAACTTCTGTGAACGGCGGGCGCTCCATGATGTAGTTAAACTGGGCAGTATGCCCGTTCTCCTTCTGCTTCTTTTTCTGGCTGCGCTTGCGACGCTTGGTCTTGGTTTTTTTCTTCTCTGTAAATAAAAACAACACAAAGTTAAATAACTTGAGGCGGCATCAGGCTAGCCTAGTTTGTTTGGATATAACATTACCGATTTTTTTTAATCCTAGATAATCCGCCCCGGGGATGGCCCACTGACCGATAAATTTATTGTAGGTATTGTTGTTTCAATAAGCACAACACAAATGGGAGTGACACACCAAGGTAAGTACTTGGTAGTCATCAGTACATCCCACCCCTCCCCACTGTAAAAAATAGAAGTAGGTAACGGAAGCCATCCAAAACTCCGTCGAACTTTGTATTATTTCTTTTTTTTATTATTTATTTTCTCACAAATATCTGACCTAATTTCGCCTCAGCAGGAGCATGGCAACAAAACAAAAGATTTCGCAATCACAAAACAAGTCGCCAAGGAGCCAAAGACTCTTTGTAAGAACACCTACACGGCGGCGCTAGCGAGTCTCCGCGATCAATATCTACACCACCTACGGTGGCAGAAATAACCGCTAACTGAGTAATTAATCTATTACGAAAATATCATTTAGATACACGTGTCATGACTTCACACACAGCTACTTACCTATACTACGGTGCATAACGGTTGATGATGTACAGCCAACCCAGTCGTAATGCACAGGATGCACTCGATCAATTTGAAGTGCCTTCAGAAGATTGTCTTCAGAAGAGCGTTATCCTAGGTTACAATAATCCGATGCACTTAAAGTTACACTAACCTGGTGGGGGCGGCTTGGCTGGCGTAGCAGCCGTCATGGTGAACCACTGGCTTGGTGACTTCTCCACTGATAAGCTTGGGGTGTACGGGTCGCAGCACAGCTCACCAGCAGCGTCCAGGATCAAATGGACCGATCTAGAATACTCGAGCTCCAACGCACAGGCGCTAACTGGGGATCGTCAACCTTCGGCGCGGCTTACTTAACAATTTAGGTCAAAGTTCACTCTATATATTATACTAGTATTATTTATTGATTCTCAACCGTAGAACTATTTCAATAGGTATTCTTATTACAATTAGCTCACACAAACAGACTAGGCAGATCGCGCTGATAACTGCCTACCTACCTACTTATTTTTAAAGACTCGTGTACAATGAGAACGAGAGCGAGCTATGTCATGCCTAAATAGGTAACTTTGTATTAACAATATTTCATACATTTGTATGTATTTGTAATTATTTGCTTTCAGCTTTCAGAACAAGTAGGTACTTGTACCTACAATATTTATTTCACTTTAGATAGGTACGTATTCGCTATTTTTTACATATCTCAGAATTTTTATATTATAAATTTATTATTAGATATTATTTTATTATGATTTTCTGTCCAATCTCAGGTGAATTTAGTTTAATTTTCCTTGTACGACATAATGATCGTATATAAAGTATGAAAGCGTGCCTGGTAAGCAGGAGGAATGAACGTTGCGGCGCATCGAGGCCAGTAACCAGGTACCCTAGAGTTGCATTGCATTTATTGGACGTAATGACGTAATAGGGCGATTTGTTCAGAGGGGAGCTAAATGACCGCAGTGAAGTGTCTACTTGTAACTGTGCGACAACCGTACAAATAGCTAGGTACCTATATGAATGCGAAACTATGTAGCCACTGTAATATCGATATTATGGTCTGAATGTCCTTCCGTAACTCTCAAATTAAATGTATTGGTACTTAGCAGCTTCAAAATCTTCTACTCGTATAATTTATGATATATAGTCGCAAATACCTACTTATAAGTCAAAGAACGAAGGTGTGTAGGTACTTGATGCTTTATAACAACAAAATTTTCAATTAACGTAGATAAAAGACCGTTTATTTCTACTAACCAGTACCCATTCTCAAGAACCTATAAAAGATTAGAGACCTGCAACATGACATAGGATAAACCAAATTACACATACCATTACAAAAGTTGTCACCGCACTAGTTATTTGTCGCATCAGCTCCCTGGGGGAGTGAGTTTCGAACTAATTACATGAGTGCTACAACAAACACAATAGCAACCACAACCTGCTGCACAAAGTTGTGAGATAAGGGAGCACTGACCCATCTAGCTCATACAAAAGTATAAAGTAACATGTGTTTGTAACCGGGGGACGATATGTACTGAGTCACACAAGCAACAAGTTGGGGGAAACCGAATGCCTCCTTCATCCCTCGGCAGCAGGCATGGAGTTGCTTCATTACTGCTATAATGCCACTCGTCATACATTCTTATATCTTACCTTAACTATTTTGCAATCTAACTTTTTCAGTCTGTTATTTATTAACATAGCCTCAGTGATCTGAACTGCCCGTAGGTTCAGATGCCCGCTTTTCAAGCAGCAGAATAAAAATTGGGAAACTTTTGTAGCTTTTTGGCTAGTGCCAATGTGACGTTTGCAAACTTATGAACTTTCTACGTTTATTTATGCACTTCAGACATGGAGTAAAGAACATAGTGACGAGTTCTAACTTGGCTAAAAACCGCCAATCCGTTCTTGTAAACATGCAATGGTCGTTCCTTCTTTGTTCAACAGTGAGACAGTTTTAGGCTTATTTAGGTACATAAATAACTACATGGTCCGTAGATTCCGTAGATACAGGTATGTAGGTATATATAACATTGTTCTGTTAGATGTCACATCTTTATTCCCCAAAGGGCAAATTGGCACTGGGTACGAGTGCAAGCGGGTCGAAGCAGGAAAGGAACGGGGTACTTTTTAGTTAGTAAGAGTTTGACACTCCCTGTCGGCAGTAGTCATTTGTCGGATTCCCTCCTAAAAAAGGGGATAAAAATGGGTAATAAATACAAATGGGGCGCGTCAGTAAATTACGATTATTATAAGGACTGCCTCCAGAGCCTAAGGTCCGATAAAGGGTGTTGCTGAGTGACGAAATCAAGGACATTAGGGTTACACTATTGACTAATTTCGTAGCAGATTTTGAGAGCAAGGATTGGTATGGGTATATGTAACGGATTGTCATTCATTTTAAGTTTCTGTTATCGAGAAAACATGAAACAAGTGCGATGTGTTCTTATTATCTGTTATTTTGGCCAATTAATTAATTTCAAAAGAAAGAAGTTTACCTTAGTAGTTAATAATAATACCATGAAGTTTGTACATTGACTCACCAAAATTGGCCATTACATGCTAATAGAAATCTCCGGAAAGATAAGAAGAATTTCAACACCGCTCGTTTGACAGTAAAAATTGTAAAAACAAATGAATATGAAACCAAAAAAGTTGGTCTCTCAAGCATCCATAATTAATTTAAGGAAATAAATATAAATGCATTTAGTAAAAATACACGTTTATAAAAATGTATTAAGTTGTTCCATGCGAGAATCGAGCCCGCTACCCTTTGTACAACAGCCGGTTACCCATCCCCTGCACCAAATGTGCAGTCTTACGTCGTTGCAATAAAACACTGT